GCAGGGCCTTAGGTTAGGCTATCCAGGTCCACGCAAAGCCAAGTCTTGCATACTTGGATTTGAACATGAAATAGTATGAGTAATGCTATAAGTAGAGTCATCGTTACTTTAGTGAAACCACATGAAAAATTAGACAAAAGACACTCCAAAGAGGCCGTGACTCAAACAGCCCGATAGGAAACAGCAAACCTGGCCCCAGTACCTGTAAAGCAGAGAAGCATTTGAGTGCTCGTTCCACTTTAGATCCTAATAAGGCAGCCTGTACATCCTGGAAATGACATTTACAGATTTCATACAGAACAGTCTAGCCTCAAAAGTAATTTTTTTTTTTTTTTTGGTGATGGCGCTATTATTGCCACTTGTATTTCTGCTGGCAGGAAGGTATTGCCTGCAGCTGCAAACTAATATAAACTCCAACTTTCTGGGTCATCAGAAATGTGATGGACAAAGCTCTCTCCACAGTTCCTTCATCCGTAAGATGTTAAACTGTTAACACGGCGTCAAAAGTGGTTCTCTGCCCCTTCTTTGCTAGTTCTTCCTTCTTTTTATACTTTTTCATTTCACAAATATTTAATTGCATAAACATATAGCAGACCAAAGCTTAACGCGAATGGATTTGAGCTAGTGAACATTGGAGGAAAAAAATAAAAAAGAAAAAAGGAAAAAGGAGAAAGAGTTGGGAATGGTGTAAAGGACTTTGCTGATGGGTCAGTCATTTTGCTGTGCTTGTAAAGCTGCATTTTGCAATATAGGTCTTGCAATATTGAGCTGTATACACAGCAAAAAAGAAGGTAACAGTGTCCCTTTGTTGCTTTCTTTAGATAAATAAAACTAGTCCAGGAAAAAAGCACAGAACAGGCTGTAGGACTGGACCAGATTTGCACCAGAACGGAGTATGGGACCTAAGAGAACCCTTCTCTCCCTTGCATCACCCAGTTTCAGAACTGAAAGGAGTTCACTTTTTCATTTTCTCCCAGGTTAAAATCATACCAATTTCCTTTCATTTTAATGAGGGGTGCAGATGTCTCATGCATTTAACTAGGTTTCTTATGATTTGTCACATTTAAGGGCTGACGGCTATGGGAGAGCTCATTACTTTGGGGATCCTGGGGAGACAGATTGTTGTTTGGAAGCTTTCTTCTGGCTGCTTGTCCAAATTTCACACGGGAAAGTTGTAGTAAGCTGATAAACACCTTCTCCTATATTACAAAGGGTCTGAGCAAGAGAAATATACATCTTTACATTCGACATTATTGCTTGCACAAAAGGTGGAAGCCGTTAGAAAGGTAACTCTTCCCATGGTTAGTTACACCTGTATTCTTGCGTACACAAATGGTGGAAATCATTTTTCAAACCCCAGGATTTCTCAGCTGCTTACCTCACTTATTTCCTCTTTTTAGTAAAGCTGTGGAACCATGAGCAGCGTCCTATTTCACTTTCTAATTACTTCTAGTAAAAGTAATTCTTTCATGACCACCACTATACTACCAAGCCCAGGGAAAGCTCAATATTATTTTAATCCTTGTTTCACAGAGACACCTTAGATGGTGTTGAACAAAGCCTTGAACGCATGGTACTTTCTACGCAAACTTCAGGAAGACAGTGTTATTTGAATGCAATGAAGTCCAAAGCCGAAACTTTTCATTTGTTGACGTCGGTCAATGGAAGGTCCTCACCAACCCTCACCCCTTGACATTTCTTCCTTGCTTTCGCACCGGTTGCCATCGTCCCTCTCCTGCTCCCCACTGTGCTATCTCCCCTTTAACACCAGCCAACCTGGATTACACTTACAACCACAACTAATATTTTATCTCAGCCTTTCTTCAGCAGCCAGCCCCAGGGATGCTTCACCCTGCTGACCCATGCGACGTTCATTTAAGGACTCTGGAATTACCGACACTGCTGGTTTCCCCGTGGAAAATGCTGGCTCTGTTGATAATTTTCTTTAAGGTTAAAGCAGGAGGTCTCTGAATAAAGCAATGCCTTCTCACTGTTTGCACCTGGATGACTGCAAGAGCAGTGCAGCACTCACAGCAAGGTGCAAAGGGATGCTGCAGCCTGAGTTTTGTGCCTTATCCAGCCCATGAGATGGCAAACAGCCTCTCATCTTTCTCTTTTTTTTTTTTTTTTTCCATTTGCACACTGGAAAGATGAAGGCACAAATGAGGTTTAGGAATTGCTTAAGTCCATATACTGACTCTTAGATCAAAAGGGCCATGTAAGAACAAGGTAATTGCAATTAAACATCGCCCAAGGTCGCAGGATACACGGGGGGTAAGCTTTAAGCTTAGTGCTTTTGGTAAAAACCAGACTCACTTATTGACATTCTTCCCATCCGCACTCCCTTCCTGGAGGGTCAATAAACTCAGCTGTGGTTATTCGAGTGCACTGTAAAACCGCTGTTACAGCCCAGCGCAGCGGAAGCTCTGCCACTCTGGGCATGAAGCAATCCCCACGGTAACTTTCTCTTCCCCGAGAGCAACGTTGCAAAGAAAATTTGATGCTTGCAAAATGCTTGGAGATATTTGAAACAAAGGTGTTAAAAATTTGCAAACCATTTACCTGGAGCCATTAGTTCCTAAGGTCTGGCCTTATTACTACAGAAAAGCTGGAAACAAGATAATTTTTAATTGCAAGGAGCACAAAACCAAGCTCAATGCAGCCATCTCCTTCTTAATCTCCCACCTGGAAATTCAGCCCTTATAGGCTGAAAGACCCCGTTCTTTTCAGGGGCTAAGCGCTTGCATATTGCTGGGAGGAAAAAAAAAAAAAATTGCAGTTATAAACGTTTAAAGCAAAGTAGAGGGTTAATGCAGAAAACACCGGCAGAGTTTTCTCTGTCATCTGATGAGCAGCATGCACCACTAGCATGGCAAATATATTCATGGTAGTCCTGGAACTGAAAACGTCTGGGTTGTGCTCTGACTCACCGTGCCTTCGCAGAAGCAAGGATTAGTATTATCTGCTCACATAAAACCCTCGTGGTGGGTCTGTTCCAGCCTGAACCTCTGCTCCACCAGACTGAGGTTTACGGAAATCACTCACCTGCCTTACTTGAATTAGGAAGCCAAAGAGAAAATGTGGTGTGATAGCTGCCAGGCTGCTTAGCATCATCTTTCTTTGTTGTTCCTACGTTATTAGGTCCTCTGGGTATATCCACAATTGCTGGAAGTTCAGAGGCAAAGACACTTTGCAAAAGGTGTTTACTACCCAGATAGGCTTTGGTTGTTGTCTCTTTATTAATGACATTATTTTCTGTTAAGTCTGCACTCCAGTTTGATCTGAGTGGAGTCTTGTTTGCTCCTAGGAGCTTTGTCTTCAATAGCTCCTCTATTGGCTCTCCATTAGCTATGCCATCTGCCCCATCTGCTGTTAATCTAGACGAACTGCAATTTATTTTGAAGGACAACGCCGATCTATGAATTTGTTGGCATTCGATTCGAGGTTGGTCAACACACACATTGAGCGACTTGTCTACGTAATAGATGGTGCTTGGACCCTGCTGAGAAACCTGAAGGTGGACATGTGAGATGAAGGAAGGTGGTACTTTCTCTCTCCCATCACTGCTTTGAAGACCCACACTCTTCTCCTTGTTTCCAGGGTTAAAAAGCTGCTTTTGTGGCTCTTTGCTTAATTGCAAGCAAGATTCTGAAATCTTTAATGGAGTGGCACTTTGGTTTGCATGGTCCAGCGGAGGCCAGCGTTGGAGGACAGCAGGGACTTTGGTCAAGGTGGGGGACACAGTGTTGGGCTCTTGCCCAGTCCTAGGTCCACGTGCTGGGTCGCCGGAGCCTCCAGCAACACGCCTGGCTGTAATGGTTATGGAGGAAAACCCTTTCTGCTGGTTTGGACACTGGTTTCCCTCTGTGGTGGGAGAGTCCGATGGAGGCGTGGTATCATCTAAAGATGTCTGAATTTCTAATCTGCTGGGAAGTTCTGTCAATTTTCTATTAATATTGACCGAGCCATGGTTAGACAAAGGTTGCTTCGTCTGATAAGCACTGGGCTGGGGGGTCAGGGACTGCATAGGCAGAGTGGGACCATTTTCTTTTGATTTATTCTCAATCATCTGCGGAATAACTATCGGTGAAATCAATTTTGTATTTTGTGACGACAGAGATCCCTGCAAATGAAAAGATTCAAATTATCAACATGCACTACTGACGACAGAGATTCCTGCAAGTGAAAAGATTCAAATTATCAACATGCACTATCATAATATATGCAACTGTTTCTCATCTACCATCTATCACACCAGGCAGTTTTCTTGTTAACTTCCTATTCGTCCTAACTTTTTTGTCATTTAAAAACATATGCTCTTGAAATCAGCTCTGAATTGTCTTCAGAGACTTGAGTGAAAACCTTATCACACTGGTGCAAAAAAAAAAAAAAAATTAAAATAAAAAATGGGTGTTCTATTATTTTCAGTATTTAACCCACTGTCACAGTTGAGATTTGTGGCTGCTATGTTTCTTCAAAAATGGACAAGCCAAAGGCAATTGCCAGTTTCAGACTGTAAACTGCTCTTTCATGATGGTCTCCTGGAATTTATTGAATGTATCGCGGATCATTAGCCTGAAGGGCCACGTGCTCCATCACATGCTGCAGAGGACATGTGGGCACCAGGGTCACGTCCGCTCTACAACCTCACCAGGTATAAGCATGGAAAAACTTCTCCATGACGCCTCCCATAAAAGAGATATCATTTCCTATGGGGGTATTATTTTAACTAATTGCTTCCCTCTCGCTTATCATTACTTGGTGGTACCTATCAATGATGTAGAACCACATTTATCCAAGATTGATTGACAGTGACCCAGATTCACTTTCCCAACCATGACAGTAAGCATCTATCTTGACAAACTGTACATTACTTGATGGGATAAAGGAGGTGTTTTTATATTAAAGCCATGCAACAAAGAGTAAACCTGAGTTTAAAATCTCCTGCTATTATTATCCACACAGTTGGTCACATAAGCCATATGCAATAAAGCATCTGGCCTAATCTCACCGCTGCTGTAAATTGGCTGATTAGATTGCTCCTGCCCTGTGTTCCTAGATCTCCTGATGCTAATAAAAAATAAAAAACCCACCGCCTTGGCATGCAAATTCTGAGGATTAGCTCCATAATGAAAGCTCAGTCAGGTTCGTTCGGGGTTTAGGTGCCATTTGCTGGCTGCACGGCTCCTGCTTGTTGGGAATAAATCTCAGTCACATCTGGGCGTCTATCATCCCATAACCAACACCGGTACTTGACAAGTATTTCACAAAATATAATTTTTTTTTTTTCCCCAAGGGAGACTATGTGAGTGACAGAGTTGTGACCTCCCAGGTGACATGGTCATCCTGCGCAGGGCTTGGGCTCCAGGGTCAGGACCTTCCACCGAAGCCCATGGGCAAAACCATCTCTGTGCTCCTGTCCCCTACGCATGGAAATAACCCAGAAAACAGGCTCCTTGGTACCTCTTGGGAAGGACCCCAAATCGGGAGAGTTAGATCAAGGGTTTATTAACGAGGCGAAATGCCAGGTAAATGTTATCAACTCTTCAAACCAGCTGCCTGTGGCTTTGACAATTCAATAATTTCGCAGCCCCAGGGAAAGTGTTTTCTTCCTTCTTTCTTTCTTTCTTTCCTGGTTTGTAACAGTATTTCCCTTATATTTTCTGCACTGCATTTAATTCTACGTACGGGTTTAAGACCTTTGCAAGCCTCCCAAAACTCTCGACTTCCCTGACATTCCTACAGGGCACCAAAGTGGAATGTTGTTTGAAATACTTTATTTTGGATGCAGTGCTCATGCTCCAGTAGTTAATTTGACATTTATTTCTTTTGTTAAGGGCTGCACAGATGGAGATATCCTGCAAGAATCCAAAGGCATCTCAAAAATGCTCCCAATTAGCTCCAAACTCATGCACCGATATTCTAAATAATTTGTTTTTCCTTTTTCTGCTTGAGTATATGGATTATTCCTTCCTCCCAACCTTTGGCAAATAAACGGATCTTTTAAGGTTTGCCCAGCTGATCCTATGCTTGTTGGGAGCTTTCAAGCTCCACTGCATCTTGTGAAAAAAAATACACACTTACACAAAGTAATTGTGGTGAGCTGAAAACCTCAGGCTGTATCCTCAGAACATCTGAGACTGAGTGTACTGATATTTGGGAAACCACTTGATTTAGTCTCCCGAGGTGTTTTGAACAACTTTTTCTCCTCCACAAAACACGCAATTTTTTTTACATTGAATCACAACATGTAACCATCGTTTTATTGGCCTTTTCTGCTGCCTAAGCTAAGCCTAGCTCAACAAAACCAAGACCAAACACACTAAGCAAGCAGCTAGTGTTTTTTAAACCTGAATGCATTCTGCTGACTGCTATCTACACGTGATTGATTTATTTTTACCTCGGTAGAGCTTGATTTTCCCTCCACAGCGCTCTCCCTCTGAAGCCCTGTGCATGTCCTCTGGCCGTTAGTGCCCCATCCCTTCTGTGTCACTCCTGGGGGGGGGGGGGAAAGCAGAGAAAGTAACATTATTTTCCGTGTCCTGGAGGAGGTGACTTACAAAATGTGGTTTTAAATGGAGCGCAAGCAGGAGGGACAGAGCTGCTGTAAGTGATCTGATTGCCCTGGGATCTGGTTATCGGGGGGATCCTATTTCTCCCCCTTCCCAGGAGAGTTTCTCGAAACACCCCCAGGATCCTGTTGCAAAGATGTGTTTGTGGACAGTCTCACAAAGTGTGCAGGGCTGATCCAGAGCTTGGATATCTCTGCTTTTGATTTCTGTGGAGGGACCGGGGAAGACGGGAAATGCGGATTTCAGCAATTGTCACTTTTGTGCAGTCTGCAGAACTTGAGTCATCTTCCCATTACAGTAATTTTAAATAATATTCACTAATTCTATTACATCATAACTTTTCTAGTTCAGTGATAACTATTGCATCAGTATAAGTGTCTTTGATTTGTGATCATCTTTTGCTTTCTGGGAGCACTAGCTCGTCTGCAGCTTTTTCCACGGAGCTAATTTCCATATAACACGGAGTCTGGGCTATTGCAATGATGCATTACATTTGCTGTCAGTAGTTTTGCCAGAAATGACGTTACTTTCTATTTTGTAATAAGCATCCAAAATTAATTTTCAAAACATTCTCTATTTGGACTGAAATCTCTTGACGTTACCGGCTGTTGCTTTACAGCAACAAGTCACACCACTAGTAAAAACCTTTTATATAATTTTCCTTTCACTTAAGCAGCCTGCCACAGAAGTTGGAAATTTTTTTACCAAGCAGAATTTAAATTCACATGTAACATTATATTAGGAAAGGGATATAAATCAGCTCCACTTTAAGAAGTGTTCATTAAAGCATATCCACCACAGCAGGCTTCATGGCTCCATCTCCTTGGGTGCAGCTAAGAAGAAGAGAAATGAGGGGGAAGGTATCAGGTCTACCCTCTGAAGAGAGATGTAATAGAACCATAGAATGGTTTGGGTTGGAAAGGACCTTAAAGATTATTGAGTTCCAACCCCCTGCCATGGGCAGGGACACCTCCCACTAGCCCAGGTTGTCCTTGAGTCCCATCAGAGAACAATAATCACAAAACACTAACAGGATGTTGGATGAACTTTCTGCTTTAATAAGATATTTTAATATTTTACTTGAACAATTCCAAGATGCCAATGCCACGGTGTATTTTTATAGCTGGCATGGAGGAAAAAAAAAAAAAAAAGAGGTTTGCTTTTGTCATTGAGCAAAAGAAGGTCCTGAGCAACAGAGGAAACAGCTGGACTAACGAGCCACAGTATGAGAAAAAAAGAGAATTTAAAAAATAGCCAGAGCAGAGGGCCCACTATACATTTTCCGGCAAAGAAATAATGCACTGTTGCAATCTGAAAATGCACTGAACCTGACTGAGCACTGGATTGTGGGAACTGCTGGCACAAAACACACCGAGATGCCCTTGCAGCCTGCTCCTCACCCCGTTCTGGTGCACAGTGAGGAGCTGCTGCGCTGTCGGGACAAAACCCACCAGCACCCACAGCAGTGGGATTGAGGTGCCTGCTAGGTGACCCTTATGGGAGAGTTATTTTCAGTGTATCAGTACTCTGGTGAGTTACACGTGAGTATCTTCACGATAAAGAGCTGCTACATATGCTGTCTTATTTACTTTTTAAAACAATGAAGTAGGGAACAACTTGCAGAGAAGGATAAAGAAGGAATTGTTGGATTGAATTAAGGCAAGACTTCAAAAAAAAAAAAAATCCAAAAGTTTGATAAACAAAACATATGTAATTCAAGCAACAACTTCACCTACATTATAAATATTTTCCTCAAATTCTTTACAGTAAGAAGAAAAAAAATGGTTGTCTCAGATTGAGCTGCAAAGCTCCAAGAGGAGAACATCAACTTGTGAATGTCAACCATCAGGCAGTCCAGAAGGCTGGCTGGAGATAAATCACATCCAGACAGGCATGTTGTGCCAGATGGCCTTTCATTAATTCCATTCCAATATATTCTCAGCACAAGAGAAAGAGCGAGTCTTTCTCAAGGGTCAAACAAGAACAAGTTGTCAAAGTCCACACAGTAGATTACATACGATACGCAAGTTATTCTTATCAAAGTCACCTCTGTAGGTAGGACCTTCCCATTTCACACAGATCCCTTGGAAGAGATTGGTTAATTCTTGCTTGTTTAACTCTCAAAAGTAGCTGTATCTGGAGCGGAAGAGCTAGGAAGAAGTGAGGTGGGAAGAAGAGGAGGGAATTTTTATTTTTATTTGCTAAATCAACCAGAGCAGAGCTTTGCGTTGCATTTTGTACCATATCCTGTACAACGACATTCTGGTATTACTACGGGAATCCTGTTGCTGGAAAACACTCAAAAGTTTTGGCAAGTCATTGAAACTAGTTGCTGAGCTAGATTAAATGGCATTGGTGGCAAAAGCTCTGGTATTTTTCATTATATTATTAAATCTATTTTAGGAAGCTTCACATTTGTTAATTCACGTCAACAGAAGAAGCAAAAAAAAAAAAAAAATCCCAAATCTTTAAAAAGAGCTGGAATCTGTGTTTGAAATGAAGACCCTTTGGGGAGCACAAGGGTTTAGATGTGTCACATCCAGACTTCTCATACAAATTCTCATTGCTGACCAAACACATTGTGCAGCAAGAGTCACAGTGCAATGAAATGCAAAGTTCAGTTTCTCCCTGCTGCAAAAGCATGAAAGAAATGGCATTTCAAGCACTTTCCATCTCTGTGGGGAGCATGAGAAACTTACTTCTATCCGAGTTGAAATCCTGAGGATTTGTTTAACCTTCCAGACCTCGTCTTCCCACCGTGACCCACCTCTCCAGCTCTCAAAGAGGGGATGCGATGAGGAATAGCGGAGCGGTTGCTGGCATATGAACTTTGTCCTATTACATCTTCACTCTTTTTATTTTTATTTTTTTTTCCCCCCCTGCACAAATACTGTTTGTTGAACCAAATGATACGTTCCTTGGCAAAGCATCTGGACATCCGGCTACAGACCAGGGTTTTCCTAATTACAGAGTGCAGCTGGAACCGATTCTCCCAGTCTCAAGTGCCTGGATGTCTGCCTCGGGCCAACTGGCAGCTGGCTCGGATAATGATTCAGAAAAGATGTACTTGTAAATCAGCTTGCTAAAACACAGATAGATTGCACAGGTGAGGGTGCTGGTGAAAAAAATAGCGTGTCGCGAATATTTGGCGCGCGTAGGACAGCCCAGTTTTGTAGCCAGCTGGGGTTTTGTATAAAACTTGAGATGTACATGAAAATAATCCACGGATAATGCCATTTTGCCACTGTTTCAGGCTAGACACATCCAGACTGTCATGCTGGGGGGGTGTTTGATGACACCCCGAGTGACACTGGGCCAAGCTGGTATGACTTTATAGCACCGGCCCTGGCCTCATCTCCAGTTCTTGTCATGAACGCTGCCTATTTCATTCATTTCCTATTCATACGCTGACAAATTTCAAATGCATGTCAGTGCTTCTGCTCTGCTCCAAGCCCTGCATACTCTGCACCGATCTATGGTCTACGGTCCCCTCCACGCCACCAGCATCACCTCAACATGAACTCCTCTAGAAGCTCCAGGAACCTCCAGCGCTTCCCTCAAAACATCATAAAACAGTATCACAGAACACATACACCTGGATGAAAAGGGAAAAACTTCTTTGCTTCACAAAAAAAAGAAAAAAAAAATCATTTTCTCTTGGTCATTAGACCACCATCAAACAGACCTTTGAAGGGAGTGGGGGTCCCTCCCAGGTCCATAGCAGCCAGACTCCCCACAGCCCCCACGTCACCACCATTGATTACCTATAGATGCTCAAATTCCCTTCTCAGGACCTGGGACCTGAAGGACATCGGTGGCATGGCTGCAGGGTCAGGCATCAGAGAAATCATTCAGTTAATATGTCTTTGGCATCCCTTCAAACTTTTTTTTAAGCCTTTTCCTCCTTCTATGCATCATTCCTACTCTAAGTCACCAGCAGATAAACCCTGTCACTAAAACAAACTTGGAGGAACTCATTTATTCTTTATTCTCTTTAAAACATCATATTTGCTTAAATTTTCTTGTGACTTATTTCATTCAAATACCTGAGGAAGCCCTGAGGGGGGAAAAAAAAAGTGTCATCATTAAAGATTCACCACGCTCCCTCTCAGTCAGGGCTGGGAGAGATCTTAATTCATTTCTTCAGATCTGAAGTGACTCATCCAGAAAAGCCATCCAGCCACTACAGGTACATCCGAGATGAAAGCCAAGTCAGAACGAACACCAGAACCAAATCCATGTCTTCTGGTCTTCATCAGGTGTCATAAAGAAAGAACATCATAAAATCGCAGAGAGTATTGTCATCTAAAACAAACCCGAACAATGAAGCTAAAGTTCACTTGCCTGGTACTAAAAGTAGATAAATGCTGAAAATCCCACCTTATAGCAAAGTCCCTGCTGACATTAAATTGATTTATAGGGAAACTGCTGGTGTTTACTTGTTAGTGGGGGGAGTGATGTGTCTCCAGAAAGCCTTGGCACTGGCACAGCCTTGCCATCCTTCCAGGACGTTATCCTGAGCCTTCAGGAGTGATGCTATTCCAAGGAGGAGATGACCTCCAAGGAGGTCTTACCCATCAAGGGAGGATGACAGAGTACATCAGTCTTGTTAAAGCATCTTTGCTCAACTTCTAACTAGCACACGCCTACTTACACCGGGGGTCAAACAGCATGATAAAGGGGGAGAAAGTGGCTGCCAACTCTTTTCTTGAAATCTTTCCTCTTGTGAAAAAAGCCAAACCAATAGAAACAAGCAGCTTGCCATGAAAAAAAAAAGTACATGAACACCGTTGCACGAAGATAACGGTATTTTAAGGCAGCTTCGTTGGGGAGATTTTCAAATCAGTGTAAGAAAAACAGCCTGAAATCATTTCAGTCGCAACAGGATTCATTATGTAAACAAAATAGAAAAATATTTTCTCA